CATAAAAATTTTAATGAAACACCAGAAATTCAACGGGATTCATAGAAGCTTTAAATTGTGTTTTGAGAGGTTTGGTATTGATCTTTTTTTAACCCAGATACTACATTAGAAGATTAAATGACCTCTTTGATAAAAATTAATATTCCTAAGAGTAGTTGTAAAGCCCTTGGTGGTGATTTCTGCATAGTGGTAGTTGTTTGCTGTGGTTGGTACTCTTAAAGAGCATGGCAGGCTGCATGAGAAATTGTCATACACAAATATGAAGTAGTTATAAAACAGTTGTAGAAATGACAAAATCAGACTGTCTGTGTTAGCATAATTGACTGCTTAACCTTCAAGCAAAGAGATTTCTACTGCAATAGTCTTGAATCATTCTTCATCAGCTCTCCATTTTTTGTATACTTGAGTTTTTTCCTGTTAATGCTAATCAACAGAAGATGTAAGTGTGCCTTATCAAGATTTGTGCTCTTTCATGCTAGCTCTCTTTGAGTTAAGCTTAGTCTTTTTGTGACTAATTATTGTGTTTAGGACATATTTGACTGTAGCTAGCCTCCCTCTGTCTTATCAGTCAGCTTGCAAACAGTGACACAAAAACATTAGTAATTATGAAAATTTGGCCCACTAGCTCTTTTAACTTACTTGTATTAATTTCAGCACATTTGTATTAATCTATGTTTTGTCTTGTGGCTTTTGCCTTTCATTCATTCTGTATGCCTGACTCCCTCCATGTCTTGTTGGCATCTTTTAGGCACCTAAATTCATCTACTATTTCCTCTCTCTCTCTCTCTTTGCCCAGAAGTCCTGCCTATACCTCCTGCCTAGCTATTGGCCATTCAACTCTTTATTAGACCAATCACACTACTATATCTTCACACAGTATACAAATATCCCACAACATTTGGCCCATTCTATTAGTCTGCTCAGGCTGGATGGTAACTCCACTTCGTGATAAACCCAAAGTGGGGATGGGTGAGGGGGCAGGGCAAGGTCTTCTCTTCAGATACTTACCTAGACTCCTGCTTCCTCCAGCCAGGCTTCCTCTACCTATCACTCAGTATGAATTCATCAGTGAAATAACCCACTTGTCTGTCTTGGTTTTTCATACATACCAGGGTGTATGTGTTTGTATTTTCAAGGTCTGATCATTAATTTGTTACTCTTAAAGACTTTTGTTCTGTTTTTGTTTTGTAGATCCAGCTGTCCTGGAACACCTTATGTAGACCAGGCTGGCCTTGAACTCACAAAGATTCACCTGCCTCTGCCTCTCAAGTGCTGGGATTAAAGGCATATGCCACCAATGCTCAGCCTCAAAGGGCTCCTTACACATGCCTTTTCATATAATACTTGGTTTAAAGATTGATTAAAGATTGACTGGACCCAGACTTAGAATTTGAAGTTCTCAGAGAAGACACAGCCTAAGTCTCTTGACAATCTTTTCTTAGCTTATTTTTGGGGGGGAGGCATTCTTCATTCTCTTGACCAAAAGTTTAGTACAATGTGCAGCCTCCTCTTTGTTTTCCTTAGTGCATTATTTCTTCAGAGCATTATATTGGATTTGAGTTACAGGACATGTGGGGTGGCTTGGTCTTGGCTTTTTACCTTTTTTTGTTTGAGAGCTTTCAGATAGTATTTTGGAGGACATAATCTTTAGAGAGACTGAGTTTTCTGATTCTGCAGGCTCCTTTGGGCTCCAGCCCCCAAAGCATAGGAGTATCTGTCAGTCCAGGAAATGCTTCTCTTCTTTTTAAAAACCACAACAGCCAGGGTCTCAAAAAACAATAAAACCCACTCAGATTGTCATTCACAGACTCGTGCTTCCTCCTTCCAATTCTCCTTGGTTTGTTATAAAAGTGTCCCTGACTCAACAACAGGCACACCCTACTTTATGGGAAAACTGTGTTTGTTGTTCCCACCACCGTTCCACTCCTCACCCAGAGCATCAGCAGCTACTTCTGTGGCCATTTGCTTTCATAGACAGTACAAAGCTTGTGTTCATCATCAGCTTCAATGAGTTTCTGATGACCAGTGGCTGGGAAGGAGATACTGAACTTTATCTTGACACAACTGACCCCCTAGTGGTACCACAAAAAAAAAAGTATGTATACTTTAAATAAAAATGACTGCTATAGTGTAACTATTGGACTTGTTTTGTTTTCTTTTCCATTACTAAAAATAACAGTGTATGAAATCTGTACAAATATATTATTTTGCGCAGATTCCTTTGGAGTGTGCTTCCTACATGTGGGATTGAGCATACTGAACATTTTGATAACTGCTGCCAAACTGTCTTCCTAGAAAGACTGCAAATTCACATAGCTATCGACAGGGAGTGAGAGTGTTGATTTACCATTATCATTGCCAAAATGATATTACTACTTTAAAATTGCTTCCAGTCTAATGTCAGAATTTCATTTTATATTTTTTGATCTTGAATTTTTTTGAAATCTTGATGTTGAACCTCCTTTCATTTTTTTTTTTTTTTTTTGACTACTTCTTATTTTTCTATGAGTTGCTTTAATTGGCTCATTTTATTAAGAAATTAAAAATCATTTTAGTATTGACTCGTAAACACTTTCTAATATAAATTTTGTATAGGATCTGAACTCAAGTGCTCTTACTTGCTGAACCATTTTGTCAGCCCCAAAATAAATTTTGAATATGAATCTTTTATTAAATGATGCACATATAAATTTCCCTAACATTTACTTCTCTTTTGACTGCACTTACTTCATTTTGTAGACATGTTAATTATTTATTTAATTATTTATTTATGGTTCCTGTATTTTGTGTAGTGTTTTAGAGAGACTTCTCTGTATAATCCATTCTTTTATGTGAAACTCTATTTTGAGTCTCTGTTCTCTGTGTTGTTTTCTAATCCTCTACCAGAAGTGTGTATCTAGTGGTTCCTGTATGTATCAGGTTTTTGAAATCCGAGAGAACAAAAGCACCGTTGTTCATTAATTTTTGCACAGCTGCTCCTGCAGTTTTTATTTATAGTTTCTTCTCTTTACCCTCAGGTGTTAATGTTCTGTGTTGCGCTAACCTTACTGTATTCTGTTAAGATTTGTGGCAGTTGTGTTGTGTATGAATATAGATAACAGACTGCTAGTTTTTTAGGTGAAGTAGTCTTTGAAATAAGAAAGTACGATGTTCACAGTTAATTCATAGATGTATGTTTTTGTTTCCAAGTCCTTAGCAATATTTTCACAGTTGATGATCTTGAATATGTAACTTCTATATAAACTTTGGTGTGTGTTAAAAATATTTTTAAGAATAGAAGCTCTATAATTAAACTAAATTGCTGGACTTGCTACTTTATCTTTTAATGTTAGTAGGGAAGCAAAGTAAATATAGCCAAGCCCATTTTTGCCTTGGGGGTTTCTTTCTTAACAGTAGGGACTAAAATTAAATGGAAGAATGTAGGAAAATAATTTATTGCTCTTATTTGCAATTAGCTGGAGCTAGATGCTATTTCAAGTGCACCTTCTGTTACCATGGCATTTCCTTAACTCAGGGTCAGCTACCTTAAAACGCTGGAGCCTGCTTTATGCTTTAAAAAATAATTCTCAGTGGCCTTGAGTAGCTGTAGCCTTTGTTGTCCCTTAATTGCTACTTTTACACAAGGAACATCAAGTAGTCATCCCCGTATTTCTGAAGAATCAATATAACATTCTGCATTGAATGCTTAGACTTAAAGCATATGGAATAGAGTAGTGGATATATAAAAGTAAATTTTTACAAATAAAAAATAGTGTTATTTTATAGTTATGTTGTTCAAGTTAAATGAATAGATTTGAAAACCTTTTTAAAAGTTCTTTCATTATACTTGTTTGTGGGGGACACACTTGCTACCATGTAGAAAACTTGAAAGAGTCTGTCCTCTCTTTCTACTGTTCATACCTTAGGAATTATCAGGCTTGGTGGCCAGTACTTTCTCCCACTGAGCCAGCTCACTGGTCAGATTTGACAGACAACTTTAAAGACTATTTTAAGACTTTTTCTCTCTTTTAAGTATTTCTAGTGCTATGAATTTGTGTGTGTACTATATTTCTTAGGGAAATGCCATTTCATTTAAGTGTTTCTGGGATTGTACCAAGAGTCCAGGATCTGGGGGATGGGAAGGAACCTATTCTTTTTCTACACATCTCAAGTTAAGTTATCCCAGATCCAGAAATAGACTATTTCTATACTTTAGTTAGGATCTAGGAAGTCTAGTCAGATCTCACTTGGAAACAAAAACATTCTTGGAGCTCCTGAAGCTACTTTTATTCTGTATTTCTAGTATATTTAATATTTCATAGGTCTAGCATAAAACTCACAAAGTAAATCTAGCCAAAGAAAGACATACCATTGGTCTACACATATTGTAAAAATTCCTGGATTTATGATATCTGCTAGAAAACAGAAAGATCTGACAGTCATATTAACACACAAAAGTGGCCAAATGGGCATTTCCAGAAGTCGTCTCAGTCTGTCCTGAAGGTGTCAGTTGCTACTTACCTATTTGTACAAGTGTCTTATTTGAGTCAGTATGTTACTTAGCACACTTCTGACACTGGACAATCTAAGTTACACCCATGATCCACACCACCTTCTCTGTCTATACAGCTAAAATAAAAAGGGTAAATATTAATAAAACATAAAACAAAATCTATCCTATTTTTCCAGAAACATGCTGCAGTTTCACTTCTTCTATTCCTTTGCTGTTGTATTTTTTTTTCTTTGAAATGTTTAATTTCCCTTTTTGTTAAGTGAATTCTACTCAGCTCAACTGCCAGCACCTTGAGGTGCTAAGAGGACTTAGATTAACTTTCTACAGAAGTATTCTCCCTGTTCTGAAGCCTTAGAGCATTTCTTTTCTCAACACAATAATTTCTATTATAAGAGTCTCGTTTTTGAATTGCTTTTTGAAGACTAAGAAAGTAGTCCTATTTTTACCCTACTTTACCCACTTGGCCTTCTGCCTTAAAATTGAATGTTTTTTTCCCCTTGCTTTTCAGTTACAGATGAGGATACAGTTAAGAGATATTTTGCCAAGTTTGAAGAAAAGTTTTTCCAAACCTGTGAAAAGGAACTTGCCAAAATCAACACATTTTATTCAGGTGAGTAATCACAAAAAATACATTCTGTGATGTCCTTCAGATTTGCTCAGTGTTGCTTGAGGTCAGCTTTCCTTGTTCATGCTGCAGTGATGTGATTGTTTCTATTAAGAACTTTATATGCTCATTTCCCTTACAGTTAGTTATAAGACCCTCAGTTATAAATTTCATTTTATATTTCTGGAAGTTTTAATCCCCGCTTCCAGATTATCACTTAGGTTAATTTTATGCCTTTTAGTTGGCTAGAACATCCATCTGCATCTCCCTAAAGCACTCGTTTCATTAGTGTCATCTGAAAGATACTACTGGAGCTTCAAAAGAATATTGACTTCTATTTTTATATGTCTAGCTTATTTAAAGTGTGTGTTTTAGTGTGTTTTAATAGAGATTAGTGAAGTAATGTCCTTGTAATAGATTGCCTAGAGCATTGCCTTAGGCATCACAAATCTCGTGGAGCCTAGTTGATAATTAGATGGTTTGGTGAGTGCAGAATCAAAACAGTGATTTAGATTCAGAGAGATTTCATTCAGACTTTGAATAAACCTTGTGTGTATTCCTTCATACTTTGCTTAATTTACCCCTTTATGCTTGGAATCACCTCTTGGATATAACAATCAATAAAGGATTTCCCTCTTGACAGAGGCTGAAATACCATAGTCTTAATACTGGCATAATCATTAAAAGCAAACAAACAAAACCACTAGTATGGGTTAGGCTAAGGATGAGTTGCATGACTTTATTAGTTTCTTTTTCAAAAGGTGATTTTTTTTCCTCCTAGCTTGTATACAATTTTTGGAAGTATCTTACTCAGATATTTTCTCAGCAGTCCTCAGATGGGTCTGATTATTCTTATGTATATAGCAAGTAGGAGATTGGGAGAGATAAGAAGCAGTATATAGCAGCTGCCAAACCCTAAGAGGCTAGGTCCAACATTCTTTTAGGTGCTGTTGTTTTTCAAAATCAGTACTGCTATGTATCCTATAAAGTGGATCTTCGAACATTTAGTATCTCATGGAATCCGCCACTCTGGTATCTTTGCTACTGCTCATCTCTTGGTTTCTCAGTGAGATCCTAGTTTAAAGTTTTATCTCAACTTTCTGCATAATCTTGGTAACTTAATTAATTGCCCTTGTGGATGGTCCATTTTGGGTTCCAATCTACTTTGGTCACATTCTCTCATGGCCCTAGTAGCCCAGTATTGTTTTCCTCAAGATGAGTAAACCTGAATAAGTGGGAGCTAATGGACCCCAGACTGATAGCTAGGAAACCAGCATTGGACCGACTCAGACCTCCTGAATGTGGGTCTCAGTTAGAAGGCCTGGGCAATCTAAGGGACCTCTGACAGCGGAACCAGGATTTATCCCTGGTGCATGAAAGCATTTTGGGAGCACATTCCTCATGGAGGGATACTCCCCTAACCTAAAGGCAGGAGGGAGGGCCTAGTCCCTATTCCAAATGACTTGACAGATTTTGTTGATCCCTCCAAGAAGTCATCACCATCCCTGTGGAGTGGGGGGATAGGGGGAAGTGGGATGGGAAAGGGGTTGGGGGTTGGGGGCCATGGAAGGAAGGGAGGGAGAGGGAACTAAGATCAATAAGTAAAATTAAAAAAAAATAATAACAGTAAAAATAAAAACGTTCATCACAACATAGTAAAGACCATTACCAAAACAAAAAAACAAAAACAAAATTCTATATCCATATTCCTCAGGCCTCAAGCTTTTTATACCCCTTCTCTAATATACATACATATACACATATTTTGTGTTGTTGGTGTTTTGCCTCCATGCATGTCTGTTCACCATGTATGTGCATGCAGTACATTCAGGGACCAGAAGAGGGCATAAGATCCCCTGGGACTTGACTAACAGGTAGTCATAAGCCACCACGTGGGTGATGGGGATTGAATCGTGAAAGAGATGATGGCCTCTTAACCACTGAGTCATTACTGTAGCCTCCTATTCTTTGGACTTTTTCTTTCTTTCCTTTCTTTCTTTTTTCCTTTCTTTGTATCTTACAGAACTCAGATTCCTTCACATCTTCATTTTATTCCAGTCAATCATGTTACACCCAGTACTAATGTCTTTTTCTCTGTCGTTTTAATAATTTTTCCCTGTACTTTCAATTACTTTATTCTTATTGCTTTATATTGTGCTTGCCTAGCAAAAACTCAATGTATCTTGTACCTTTGTGCCAACTTTTTGGCACTAAGGCTTCACACAACAATAGGACAACTTGGAACAGATACAAATTCACTATTATACCCTTAAATAGTTCTTCAAAACTTTAGAAGGGTATTTTGTTTTATTATTTTTCTCTTTCTTTGCTAAGATCAAACTCAAGGCCTTGAGTATTCTAGGCAAGCTCCTGACTACTGAGCTATCCCTGACACCACTCTTGAATTCTTTATAACCCTACCCCTTTCCTAAAACCCTGTGTTCTAGCTGAAATGCATACTTCAATTCTGAGACAGACCCTGTATCAAGAAAGTGTGTGTTTTTAATAATAATAATAATAATAATAATAATAATAATAATAAATTCAGTGATGGCTCACTGAATAAAGAAAGTACTTGCCACCTAGGTGTGAGAACCTGGGTTGAAATCCCTAGGACCCATGTCAGGCTGCATGCAGGAGTGCATGTGTCTCTCTTCCCAGTGCCCTACAGGGAGACTGAAGAAACAGGAGAGTCCCTGGAAGCTTACAGGTTAGCTAGCCTCATATGCTTTGCATGTGTGGAAGGGTAGGGGGGATATGAGACCCTATCTCAACCTAGGCAGAAAACGAGTACTGACTCTTGAGGTTGTCCTCTGTCCACCCCATTTACACCATGGCATTTGTGTGACCTCATTCACACACACATATACAGAGGGGGTAGGAAGGGAGAGAATGAGTAAAAATAAAGCGAGAAGCGGTTGAGCAAGACATTTTAATGTCAGCCTCTGCTTTCTGCAGGCACACACATGGAACATACACTCAGGGACCCATCCACACAATAAATAGTTAAAAAGAAATAGCCACCTATTCCTGTTGACTTATAATATACATATCTATGCTACCCCTCCCCCAGATCTTTATTGATATTTATTTTTCTCTATAACACTGCTTGAATTTAGTTCTATGAGGCTTGTTTCAGTAATGATTTCTTCTGAGAGCAACTGAGTAAATGGATGTAACTTTCCTTTAAACCAGTTCAGTGTTCTTTGCAAGTCATTCCTTCCAACCAAAGGAAATAAGCAAGTTCTGTAACTATAGCCTCCTCTTTCTTCATTATGTCAGGGCTTCTTCCCAGAGAGAGAAGTTTATAAAGACACAGTGTCTATGCATGCCTTTATTAAGAGGTTACAAGAACCTTCAAAGGCAAAGACAAAATTGAAATATGGGTAGATCTTCAGTAAAATTGTGTAGAAGGAATTGAAGTGTCCCAAGGACAAGTGTGATTTCCATTTAGGAGCTAGAAGGTCAAGGAAGAGCCAGCAGTGTAGACAGAGAAAAGGGCAACTATTTCTAGGAGTGTGCTGTGGTTTGTGTCTCAACTGCCCCTCACAAGCTCGGGTTAACTCTTTATTCCTGAGCTGTTGGTGCCGTTTTGAGAAGCTGAGGATTGTACAGGAGATGGGTCATAGATAGCAGAGACAAGCCACTCAGGGTGGACTTTTAATGGTTCACTTGGCCCCTGGTTGTAGGCTACTTTCTCTAATTCCTGTTTCCCAGGGATTTGAACAGCCTCTACCCACACAGCTCTGCCATTCGTCCCACTGTTGGACTCAAATCTGAATCATTGCGCCAGAATAAATCTTCCTTCCTGCTTCTGTCAGGGATTTGGTTATCATGAATCAAAAGAGCATTGGGTAGAGTGTGTCTACATCAAGAAAATGCTGTTAGATAAGATCAAAGGCTGCAAATGAAAATATGCAAGATCAGATTTATTAGCATATTTCTTTTGCTGTGATGTTTTTAGAAAGGATCTCTGATCTCAGATTTAAAGTGATAATTTGTGTACAGAGGATAGTACCTCTTAGTTTACAACAAAAATGAGTATCTACTCTTAGCAATAGAGAATTTTGTGTTATAGTAAAAAAAAAAGTCTACTTTATGAATAGCATGCAAATATACAGCCTCCCTCCCCCTAATTTGTTTTGCTCCCCCCCCCCCACAGTGTTTCTCTGTATAGCCCTCGATGTCCTGGAACTTGCTATGTAGACCAGGCTGGCCTTGAACTGGCCAATGTACCACTACACCTGGCTAGACTGTCATATCTTAAGTGTACTTATGCACCTCTGAGTATAAATATGCAAGTATTTAAATGATTTAAATGTTTTTAATCAAACAATATTTTGTCTGCTTTTAGTCTATTTTTAAATACTTTTTCTGGTTGACTTAAAATATTGATTGTAGTTTACTTAATTATGTGTGTGGGGGGTGGTGTTGTTTTGTTTTTAGACAAGGTATCAAAGTTCTGACTAGCCTAGAACTTTGTCTGTAGACCAGGATGGCCTTGAACTCACAAGGTTGGACTGTCTCTGCTTCCTAAGTGCTGGAATTAGAATGTACCACCACACCCAACCTAAACTGGTTTTGAACATTGGTCTTGACCCCATATTGGATTGCAAGTTTCAGTTTGAAAAGTGCTGTCTTTGAGTAGATTAATTTTCAAAACTTATTTTGTGTTGCTATTATTAAATTTTTTTGGATGCTGTGTGATAATGACTTATCTGGGTATATTGACAGGGCCAGTGGGTACAAATTGATAGTCACTGACTGAATTTTTGCCAGGTCAGGAAGTGGAGAGTAATATGAAGACATGATTGGCAGAAATAGAATTTGGCACTTGTAGACAGTATCACTTTCCTCCCTATTTAGCTGCTTTCTGCACAGCAGATTGTTTTATAGACTGTAGTTCTCAGACACTCATGCCTGAGGGAAGCCGTAAGTAACTAGTGAGTTAAGTTCTGATAAGGGTTGAAAGAACATCTCAGTGGCCCAAGCCAGCCTCAGATAGC